ATTACATTGCAACCTATAGATTTGCATAAAATAAAAAGATAATGTAAGCTAAAAGCACAAATTCCTAATATTAGGTTTGTAACAGCCATATGTTTGTGCTGTACCTGCTGGGTACAGGCAGTACCAAGAAAACTGGCTCTGTTCCATCATGTGAAAAGGTTGAAAAGTATTATGTATTACAGATATTGCAGCAACCAGATGAGATAGTTATGCTTTAAAAAATATAAACTTTGAGGACTGAATGAACAAAATCTACACCTATCTGCACACCACAAAATTTATATTATGCTGTACTAAATGATAGAATAAGAGTTTCAGGTGCGACAACAAAGCAGCAAAATAGAAGGTATAACTGTAAAAAATACAAATGTCATGGGGAAAAAATAGTGCATTAAAAAAAATTGAAAATAAAAGGTTTACATAGTAAGAAATAGACACAAAGTTTGCTATGATAAATCCTGTTATATTACTAAGCTTAAGCCTATCTAAATTGTAAGGCAAGGGGAAAGGACTCCTATCCATCTCTCTCGTGACTCACTCATAAATGGGAATGTGTGTTTTGGCCTTTTATTCTCTTAAGCCAGTAGCAAAGCTTGGTAGTTGTATCAATCTCATAGAAAAAGGAGGATTGGAGAATGAAACATGCAAGGGTTCACAACTGCATTTACAGGTGTTTATCAAATAGACAAAGGAGAAATACAAAGCTTAGCTTTATGTCACTTGTATTTCTCCCTCTAAAATTACAGTAACACCAGTAAAGCAGGCAGATAAAAAGAAAAAATAATCTTGTAAACAAATAAAAATATGTAAAGAGTTTAACTATAGAAACACTTGTCTATCTAATGTCACTTAATTGTTAAAATAAGTATTAAACCTGTACCTTTACAAGGTACTATACAGGAAAAGCAAGCATGCTTTATATGATGTTTATTGCATTATTCATTGCTTTTGAGATGAAATTCCCTCTTGAAGTGTACTGTGGGAAAGTTAATTTGGTTTCCTCCTTCTGGTAAATAAATGTAAATCTATATTCTGCTAGCTCCATGGGCATCAGCAGAACAGTTTCACCACTGAAGCTATATGTCTGTCAGTGCTAAGCTATAAACAAAGCTGACAAAGTTCATGAGGGGGTAACACAGAAACTCTCAGTCTAAACATATAGAAAGATTGAGTTCTTTTCAACAATAGGCAGACAGGAAGGGAGAAGACAAAGTTACTGGAAATGTACCTAATTCTATTGCCTCTTTGGTTCTTTCTTCCTTGGGAAATTTGCAGTGTATGGATTTTTAGTGCAAATAAACATCTAAGGAAGTTCTACTTAAAAATTAACAAGAGATTTACAAGAATAATACTGACGGATGTATAACTTCCTGGAACAAAGAACTAAAGCGAAAACCACTTCCAGTGCAGAGGTTTCTGTTGCATCCATGGCAACAGAATGTTGCCAGTATAACACAACACATGACAGTTCTGAAGAAACTGTTTTCTTCCACTAGGTAAGACATTTTTAGAGGCTATCCTCTTCTTGAGAATCATAAAACAAGTAGTTCATCAACACTAGATTTTTCCAAAAACAATTCATCAAAAGCTGAAACTGTCATACAAAGGAGTTATGATCTCATCTGAATGGAGGCAGAGTGAGTCATTAAAAGGAAGATCTAATACAAGCCAGATTTCCTGCCTAGCTTCCTCTGACCTCTGCTGGCAGAGCTATTTTCCTCTTGTAATAAAAAGAATGTCTAGAAATTGTTCAGGCTCTGTCAGGGGAACACAACTGACATGCTTGTACAGTGGGAAGGATCACATAGCTGTGCTCATCAACACACAGACTTGAGTCAACAGTGCCCTGGCAGCCAGGAGGGCCAACCATATGCTATGGGGCCTGACAAAGCATCACCAGTCAGTCAAGGGAGGGGATTGTCCTGCTCTACTCTGCACTCGTGCGACCTCACCTTGAATATTGTGTGCAGTTTTGGGCACCACAATATAAGAAAGATATTAGGCTGTTAGAGAGAGTCCAAAGGAGGGCAGTGAAGATGGTGAAGGGCCTTGAGGGGAAGGCGTATGAGGAGTGGCTGAGGTAACTTGTCCTGTTCAACCTTGAGTAGAGGAGACTGAGGGGTGAAGTCATCCCAGTCTACAGCTTCCTCATGAGAGGAAGAGGAGGGGCAGACACTGATCTCTTCTCTGTGGTGACCACTGATAGGACCCGAGGGATCAGCCTGAAGTTGTGTCAGGGGAGATTTAGGTTGGATATTATACAAAGGCTCTTCACCCAGAGAGTGGTTGGGCCTTGGAACAGGCTTCCCAGAGAAGTGGTCACAGCACTAAGCCTGACAGAGTTCAAGAACTGTTTGGACAATACGCTCAGGCACATGGTGTGACTCTGGTCTTGTGCAGGGCCAGGAGCTGGACTGGATGATTCTTGTGGATCCCTTCCAACTTGGCATTTTCTGTGATTCTGTGACAATTCTCTAATTACAATGACTTATGGGGAGTCCTCCAACCCAGTTTAAAAATCTCGCTTAATTAATTAATTAAATACCTTTTATACAAAATATCTTCTCGTGTAAAATATTACAGAAAATTGAATGATCTTAAGCCTGATATGCTACTATATCCACACAATAGAGTGTGCTGTGAATTTATCTTACGCCTTAACACTGAATTTCCTGACATCCATTCAGTTAACTAAGTTCTCTCCTGTTATCATAATATACCATTTTGTGAGAAAACACATACCTGAATGGTTATTTTCTTTTGAGAGTCATCTTACAACAGCTATATATCGAAACAAACATTTGTTGTTCTCTATTTAGTCTCCTATTGAGTGCTTACATGACTATGGACAGGTTTGAGATTATTGTGTTGGAACCTATTTTTGTGTGACAGCCGCAGTGCAGATACTTGTCGATATACTGGTGTTGAATGCTAATCACTACTACAGTCTGGGAACAATTGCCAGCTACGTCACTTATCACTAGAATGAACAGAAAGGCCTTAATTGCCTTATCATGCTCTTTGTGCTTCCTGCTAGAATGGCCAGAAATCACTTGAAAATAATAGAAGGGATAAAATAATCATAAATTAGTAGGAATTTTAATGGTTAATAATAAAAGCAGTTCCAAAAGGAACTCATTACTCTTCTTCATATATACAGTTTTGATGCTGTTCAAAAAAGGTCTTGATTATTTTTGTGAAAACTGAATTGAACAAAGGTTATGAATAAAATGCATTAAAATGTTTAATGTGGGATATAGACAGGACACAAAGCATACATTTCACTTAGCTTGTGTATTCAGCTATATTACTTGTAAATATTCTCATAGAACAACTTTCTATAAACATAAGCATTTTTAGCTATTGAAAAGTCATTTAAAGTTTATACACTACACTATAATTTTGATAATTTAAAAATCATAGAACAGATGCAAAGTAAGTACTTCTCTTATGCTAATTAAACAGTATACTCAAATAGTATTTCCTGTAAATAAAAGTATTTCTTCCTTTTTCTCCAAATAATTATCATCAAGATATAATTTTTAAAAAATGGGAAAGAAAGCAAACAGAAAAATCCCTATAAAAAACTATCTGTGCACTCAACATTTTCAAAATCTAATTAAAATAAACAAAGTACTAAAATTAAGAGAGAGAGAGAGAATAAAAGCTGAACAGAGAGTTCATAAAATATCCCTAGCTGTCGGCAAAGATTTTATCTTTGTCATTTAATGATGATGAAGCCAAGTAACTGTTGCTGGAATGGAAGCAGGCTGATGAAGAAGGCTTTCAAATTGAAGTGAAGGATATCGCAATTTATACTTTTCTTAGTAGTTCTTCTATCTCTACAATTTCTTTCTAAATTTCATTACTTTCTGCATTAGATATCCCTTTCAACAGGCAGCCATGTGTTGGTCAAAGCTTTAATGTGCTTCCGTTCATGTTAAACTGTTTGTTCATCCACCAGCAAGTTCTAAGCAGTTCAGAAAATATCAGAGGATTAGTAATTAATAACAATGTTAACTTCCAGGGGAAATTAGCTTGTGAAGAAAAGTTTTCTGTTTTTTGATGTTTGTGCAAGATCTGATAGCAACATTCAGCTAACTGAAACAGACTGTGTGCACTGTTAGCATATACTGAATACTTATATTATTTGAACACAGAGTACATTAAGTTTAACAGTACATTAAAAAAATAATGCATTAAATAAGTATAAATAAGTTCTAAAGATCATGGTATGTAGTAATTTTAACAATTTTCATAGGAAAGACAAAGATACATAGTATGATAATTTGTGGACATAATGAACTGGACATATTTTTTCCAGTTTAAATTGAAATAAAACAGTATAATTAAAATACTGCTAAAAGAACAGTTTATGCATTTAAAAAATAAGATATTAATTAAACTTACTTAGATGTGTTTAGCATGTTTTTAGAGAGATTTAATTTTACTTCATTCTTCATCAATAAATGTTCATTTATATTATATTTAAATAATGCCCCTATGTTGTTGTCCACAAACACATTTCAAAATTTTCAAAGTAAATAACAAAGTCTGTTTGCCATTCCTGGGTTGAATTCCAGCTATTTAAACATGGTATTAGTGGTAATTTTATTCTAATTTTTAAATGGTCCAGGAAATGATCCATATGTGTGTGCATATATACATAAATATACATAAACCAAGAGTTACTCTGTCTACAAGTATACCAGTTTTGTGTCTTTGCAATTTATTAATCAAACCAAATGTAAAATAACCCCAACTATTTTAAAAGATACTTTGCTTTCATAGAGATTTTACAACAGCCCAACAAAATAAATTAAAAGAAGTAAATCGTTTGCAATTTAATTTACCAAATTCTAACAAGAGTTAGATAACTATGGTTATGGGTGTATATATGTGAATGAACGAATAAATCCTTAACCCACCATATCTTTTTCTCCAGTTTGCAAGCTGTCACCCGTGAAAAGTATGGTGTAGATGGTAGGATGATACTGTACCTGATTGGCTCTGGAGGTGGTCATGGGATCAGATGGAGAGGACTTGGTGGTAGTTGGGGAAGATGGCAATGTCTGGGAACAAAGCAGTTCAGGAGCAAATCAACCTTTACAAGCCTTAGACTGAACAGTTAAAAAAATAAATAAACCAACAAAATAACATAACTAGAAAATTAAAATAAATAAAAAATGCCTAAGACAAAATCTTTCTCCTACTCATTGGAACTTAATGGAATTTAAAGTCAATTGGATAAATAATGCATGTAAATATGCATGCTTATGCATGTAAAAACAAATTCATGACTTGAAATCAAGATGGTGAACTCACATAAATACTCAAAAATATGCTGACCACATGAGGAATACATTCTTTCCTCTCTCCTCCTCTTGGGGAAAATGAAGACCATAAGTAAACAAAAATTCCAGCAAGTTCAATGAGCACACTAGAAACAGTTATCAGTCTACAAACAAATAGGGCCAATGTCTGAAAGATAAGAGACATTTACTTTGGCACTTTATAATGCACCATTCTAAAGCAAGGACTATAGCCAGCAAGCTGTGTTCCATACCTTACAACAGTTACGCTAAAGCTACTGAGTTTTTGGCAATATACTAATAGCTAAAATATTCATTGATCTTTTTTAATCTAGAAGCAGGTGAAAAAATGTAAGCATCAATTTCATGATGGATGAACTTGCAACTAATACCTTCACAACAAATAACTACAATATATTTATGATTAGCATTAAAAATGTTCATTTAGTTGAGCAAAGGTTAATAGCTTATTATAGCCCTGTGTTCAAAATAAACACAAAAAAGAATTAAGAGTCATATTTATTGATCATGTTTTCTAAATAATATACACATGCTTAACATTAATTCTTGAACATATTAAAAAAGCACTGCTCTGTTTAAAAAATTTATATACACATTTGTCCTTTAAAAGTATTAGATCCTGACAGAAAAACTCTTTTCTTTTTATAAATGTAGTGAAAAGGTAAAATTCCAATTGTCAAAACATAACATACAATACTTATTCAAAGCATATTTTTTGACATCTTTGCAATATATAAAAATTATAAAATATCCAAAATTACACTACTTTTATGTCAAGAAATAAAATGTTAAAGTGCTATACAATGGAATTTATCATATGCTCATATAGTTACTAACCAAAACTATTTAGAAATAAATAAAGCAAAATTTCACACTTTCAGCGGTTCTGTTACTTACAATCATTGACAGTCCCTCATAAAATCATTGACAGTCCCTCATAAAATAGGTATACATACTTTTGCACTAAAATTCTTAATGCATATGAGAAAGCTGAGACACTGTGAATGCATAAAGTTGTGTATTAGCAAAATAAGGGCTTGTACATATGCACACACAAATATTTTAGAGGTATGTTAAACAGTATGAAGATCCATTTTTCACAGTTTGTACATAAACAAGCAGTCAAAACAGGAAAAATAAAATCTTAAGAAACAGATTCCTATTTTGTGTTTCCAACTTATAACTCATGTTGTAAAGCAATCAAAACAAAAGAAAATATGCACAGCTTAAGCATCAACAGGGACCATTTCAAGAGGGTTAAGTGAAAAATACTACTATGTATAGGACATTATAAAAAATGTGTAGCTGGCAAAATGCTACTGGTCAGCAGGAACTACATATTATAAAAATCAAGGTAATTATAAAGGATTCTTCCATGTCTTTAAATACCAAACATGGGTCCATTCACGAGGGGTTCATTTGTGAGGGGCTAAGAATATTTAGCAAGAGATGTTCTGATTCTGCAATAGTACAGGGCTAAGCCCATTCAACTTTAGAATTATACTTGTGATTTTAATGAGATGATGCGGTATTTCTCTTACCAAAGTGAAATTACAATGAATTGATTTTTGTCATTTAAGCTTAAACTTGAAAACCAAACCAAAACAAAAACAAACCAAAACAAAACAAAAAACCCCCAACCAAACCAAAATTCTCTAAAGAATGGATACCCCAATAGGTTTTCTTTGTTATAGCTAAATATTAAACTCCCATCCTTAACTACTAAAAAAAAAAAAAGATTATATATTTTGATGAAAATATTTCAAAAAAATGATAGTTTGTGTTATCAACACCACTGCTAACTAGGGCATTTGGTACTGTATCTTGTTTTGGTATGCTAGGCCACTTATTAAAAGGAAAACCAGCTTGTTCTTCACAGTTATTATTAACTCAAACTAATGTATTTATAGGGAAATAGGTAGAAGAATTTAACACTGAATAATGGCTTAATCACTGATACCACGAATTATTTAAGAAACTGGAAACATCTCAGATTTCAATTCATATCAATCTTCTTAAAGCACAGAAATATATGGTTGTGGTGAAAAAAGGAGTGATAATAACCTTTTCAGGTAACTGTTGAACTAATGCATCTATTAACTAGAAGCATTTCATTATTTATTTTAGCAAAAGCTTTTTTAAAATAAAATACAAAGGAAGAAGAGATTAATAAATTTAAAAGTAAGACTGTATGATTGAACAAGAATCAAATATGGGCATATACCTTTTCTACCAATATACACAATATATATTTGCCATATAAATGGCAAAGTACTGAAAATAATAATAAAGTTCTTTGGTTTGTATTTTTGGTGGTTTATTTCTTTGCATATCAGGTTTTTTTTAATTGAGGCTTAATCACTCTTACCTTGTTCACTGACATAACTGCTTTTATTTTTTCATATATATCTCTACATACACATATATAAAAGAATTGATAGTATTTTGTAAAAATTCATTGCTTTTTATGCTTCTGTATAATTCTCCAGATACACCAATTTCTTTCTTTTATATCAAAATAACACAAAGTGATTTCTCAAACATAAAAAAAGAAAAAAGGAACAGGCATTTGAATTTTGTATTGAATTTCCACTGGCTGATAAGTCATTTATTGATACACTCAATTGCTTTGCAAAAACTTTTCAGCAAAATTGCTTCTTAAAGAAAGTTGAACAGAACTAAATATTTTAATTTATTATGCATCGTCGAATGATTTCTTTAAAAAAATTTGGCAAGTCCCTTGCTTAGGCAAGCACTTGAATTTAGTAGTTATTAGGTTTTTGGGAATTAGATGTATAAAGTGATTAGAAATCTTAAGATGAATTTACATTGCAGAGTTTCAATTTTTGAGACTGCTATATGTATAGTGTAATTGAAGCTTTCCTGAAAAGGTTATAAAAAAAAAAAAAGTCAGAATTTCTACCACACACCACTTCCAAGACTTTGGGGTTTTCTTAAGCTGTATCTTGAATGGTATAGTCCAAGCCATGATGTAATTAATTTTCTCTATTTTCTAAATATTATTTCCTTTCCTACTACTTATGTGACAATTAATGAAAGACTATATTTACAGGTTAGGGTGTGTTTCTTGTATTAACCAACACTTCTAGAGGAGATGTTTGAGAAAGCAGATTTTAAGTATTCAAAAAGGAGCTTCACTTTAGAGATAAAATTTTGTTTGAGCCATATTTGAGTTGTAGTACTTTCTGAAAGTCCAAAGAAATACTTCTTTTTATTGCTTACAAGCACTGATTGTACTGTGAGAGACTGGCCTCAGGCTGCATGACACACTAAAGGGTGCAGAAATGTGGTCAAAGCATCGCATACCCATACTTCATATTTTTATTAGCAGACTGAAGATATAGCTGTATCATGGCAGCATAGATTATATACAGTGCATCTGCATGGTGTTCCAAAAGGTCTCTGAGTCCTCTTTCAATGACAATGATGACATCCTTATATTTTTATATATATGCACTAAAAAATTTCAATACTTACTTAAGGGTAATAAATAATAAAACTGTACTGAGACAGTTAATTTAATTCTCAGTACTTATTAGTATATTTATATAGATAAGAGTAGAAAGAAAAGGCATAAAATTAAATACTATTTGAATAAGGGTTAGAAACGTGAAAGCATAGAAAGAACGTCATTTAAAAGTGAAGGCGAGACTGTATTTACAGCTTATCAATTTCTAGTTTCTCACTAAAGGGCTTGCCAAACAAAGGAAATCTTGGTAATAACATTACCTGCATTAATTTAGTATTAATACTAACCTAATACTGAGTTTCAGCCTTGCATATATTAATACTGGTGCTTTTAAATAATTGAAATTAATGTGATGACAAAACTGATTTGCTTAAGTCCATATCACAATGCACTCTAAGAAAAGGTGTTATCTTTTATCATATTAAACAGTTGAATACATTTTGCAGCTAAAATGAGAAACAGAGAGCACTGCAAGGTCCCACTGTGCTGAACAACCTAAAAGACTAATTATTACTAGCCTTTCAACAGTATCAGAGATAAGCCTGTCTAAACAGAGAGTCTTCTTTACTTGCTGTGATCTCCTTTAATCTGTAACTTTGGCAAATGATTCTCATCTCAGTGATAACTGTATAAATATATAACACATTTCAAAAAATAAAATTTGGAAAAAGATATAATCAAGGATTAAAAATTTGCTTACTATCTGGATTGTTAAAAGGCTACTTCGAATGACTTCAGTGATCTATTTTTTCTTGCTTCATTTTCATTTTTGTAAAGAACAAATAAATTTTGATGATATTTCATTCTCTTTGCATTTGGTTTTGCTTTTGTGTAGAAAAAGAGACAGGGCATAGGGAAATACAAAAAGACTAAGAGGCAACTTATCTGCATTTATGAACTCTTGGGAACCTGACTTTGAGAAAGGAAAAAGGTAGGGTTAAGTATGATGTCAAAGGATGATTATCTTATGTTGAGGCCAAGAAGGGGTAAGAAACTTAAAGCAAATCACCAAGTGCCATTTGGATCATCAGAGCAACTCTGGATGGAGGGAACGATTCAGGATTAATATTACAGCAAAAGAGACAAAAAAGAATCAGGACCTTCTCTTTCTTCAAAACTTGTCACAGTAACACAAAACTATTACAAGATCTGGTTTATTCTGTTACATAGAAATACCAGAAAACTCAAGTATATAACTAGGCATAGACCTAAAAAAATCACGTAAGATATGGATCTAAGACTCATCCTA